AGGTTTTTCATGGTGGTCTAGCTTCAATTGACTCATGAATTCAATTAGTAAATTACTATAATATTCACAAAACCCCCCTCTAACTTAAAAAGTTGTCAAGACTTTATTAATAATCAATACTTTTAAATGGTAGTCATAGTTATTATTTTTTTTTTGGAGGAATTCATCATTATAATCATGTCCATTTTAAATAATTCATTATTTTATATTCATAAATTACGTTCTAGTTCTTGACCAAATTTATTTGTTTTACAAACGTACTCTTATTATTTAAAATGGCGCCCATTTATTATCACATATATATATATATATATATATATATATATATATATGTAAAAGATAAAATACAAATGATTTAATATCTACTATTTTGTATTTTAAAACAACGTTTGTTTTATTAAACAGTGAAGTGTAAATTATGTTTATTTATGAGAATTTTACAGTTGAATTCATGAGTCAGCTTAAGTTAGACTACCATGGAAACTATGGAAGCATTGGATGGTCGTTCCGTCATAGTATGGAACTCCTCAGCAGTGCGTATCTACAATCCCACCTTGTGAGATTCGAACCCAGGACCTATCATTCTCGTACGTGAATATTTAACTTCTAGACCACTGAATCCGTATCCAATAGTGTTTTTACTATATATTTCAAACAAAATATTTAATCACTTCTGCACTTGAATAATTAAATGTTATCTAAGTTAATTGAAATAGATTGATGGGCGTATATATGATATATAAATATATGATAACCCTTTTGGAGATTCAATCATACTTTATCTGATTGCATGAGTAAAAATAATAAGCACATGATCCTACGGTAATCAGTTATAAAATTGTCCCAGTTTCAAAACAATAACGTTATTTAATTATAAAATAAAAGTACTGAAGTTGAAACAGGCTCAGTTTTTTAAAAATTATTTTGTATAACATTTCGGTTGATATACTCTGGATGATCCAATATGATAATCATAGAATGTTATACAGATCAGTTTTATAAATCACTTCCAGAAGTGCAGGTTTACGAAGTTAATAAAAGTATGACATATTCCAGTAAAATTTGATCAGTAAAAGTTATTTTAAATCGTATATGGATAATTTTTTGCTACTATCGTGGTGTGTGCTACTTATATTGACAGATATAAGTAGCATGCAACACCAATAAAAAGTTGAACGCCTGGTAGCAGAAGATTAAGAAGATCGAATTGAAGAGAACAGTAACGTATACAGAGAGTCATTGTGAATAACAACGGGAATAAAGAAATCATGACGTTTGTAAGAGACAACTGATGGAAGATATGCAAATGATGTACCTAATGTATGATTTTCATACTATCTCGTCAAGATCTCATTCACTACATTATAAATAACTTCAGATTATTTTGAATGAGTGAATAACAAATTGACCAGACACTATAAACAACAATCTACTGTGGGAGAGAACAAACCAGATCCCAATGGAGGAAAAAATCAGGTAGAAGCAGTGGAAGTGGATAGGACATACATTGAGGAAAGCACCCAACTGTGTCACAAGTCAAGCACTCACTTGGATTTCTCAATGCCACAGGAAAAGAGGAAGACCAAAGAACATATTACGCTGAGAAACTGAGGAAAATATGAAAAGAATGAGTAACAACTGGATAGGACTAGAAAGGAAAGAGTAGGACAGATTGGGTTAGAGAATGTTGATCGGCGGCCTATGCTCCATTGAGAGTAACAGGCGTAAGTAAGTAAGAATAACAAATTATGGTAATGTGTTTTGATACTGCCTAGTAAATGAAGTCATTTGAACTCTTTTATCTTAATAAGGAAATATATACGATAGTCAGTATTAACCGACAAGTTGATCTGCTTGTTAGTCATTTTTAACTCATTAGTTCAAGTAACAATCAGATCTAAGCATAAAATATTTTAATTATGATTAAGATATTACACTTATAAACAAGAAATTATTCCTAACACATTTAATTTGCAAAATCTTAACCATCATAAATCAGACCTATGCCTATTGTGTAATGTAACAGGAAACTAAACATCTATAAATACATTTCTACTATTACTGAATTATTATCAGGTTATTCCTTTGACTGAAGTGTAGTTTAATTTCCTGTCAAAAACGACATAGTTATGTGCGATGATGTCGGTATGCCACATCAAGTCAACAAATTACATATTTGGTTTATTTTTCATTACGAAGTGATATCGCCTAGAGAATCAGCAAGAATCAGGAAGCTATTTAAACAAAAAACCAGCTATTTACTCCAAGTTGGAAACTTCCCAATAGTTATACACCCATAACTTAATGCAAGACTGAACGTAGGGTATTCTTTACGCAGGACAAAAAAGATACTATTTTGATGAAGGAATCGAAATCTAGTAATTTGTGTTTTCAAATTCGGGTAAATCATATTGTTATGAAACTATCGCCATCATTATTATTCAATGTCATCACTCACACCGCTAATACTAATTATCTTACTGATTCTTGGTCAATGTTAGATTCTGAGTACACACTACTGAGAAGTTTTAAACTAGATCCAGATAGCTTTTCAATACTATCTGGTTCATAATGGATCTCTGATAGGAATTCTAAAGAGTAAAACAAATAGTTCTTTTTATTGGTGAATAGAGTAATTCATTCAGCTAACATTTAATTATTCAACCAGTGAGCTATAAAAAAATTTTGAATTCGGCACATATATTTATTGGTTCAATTTGCCAAGCCACATCAATTCAGGAAGATGAAATTATCAATATAACTGAATAAATAGTACAAATCATCACAATATCAGTAACAGTAGAAAAGATCAAGCGTTGAAACTAGGAATCTAGCAGAAAGGATAAATTCGCCGATTATGAAGTATGAGGTAGGAAAGAAGATCACTGAATACATTACCTCTATTATTGCAAACTTTGACTCATAACCTAACATATCCAACTAGTGGTTAAAATCATCATGCTGTCGCTAACCAGTCTATCACATAATAAACCAAATCAAATATCGTTTAATAATTTCCTTACGTGATGGTATAACTGATCATAGATTCATATATAACGAGAAATAAATCCTGAAGATGTTGACAACAGATTCCTATACACCGTTTCTTTTAAAGCAAGACTACTTACTTCAAATATAAGTCTGCGAATAATTTCAATCATTATAAAATAATAGTTTTCGAAATGAATTCTTTAAAAACTGAGACACATTAAGGAAGAAACTGTTTCTAGATCATCTCTGTCAGTTCCAGTGTGTAACGTTAAAACTAGTAAAATAGGTAAGGTCCAAAGTGCAGATATCTAAGGATAAATATTACTGTATGATAATAATAATAATTTACAAAATATGAATTGTCATATTTTCACTAACTAGACGGGTGATAAAGTATTCGGTACTTAATTCACCATTTGATTCATTGTACACACTACTATGTAGTGCTACAGTTAAATAAAACAGTTATCTAGTATACAGTAAAATATGACATTAGTTCATCAAATCATTGACTTTTTATCTAAGGTATATAGTATTATTATCAGAATGGGTTTTGTGGAGATTTTTAGAAATTTCACAAGTTGAAATCATGAGGCAATTGAAGCTAGATCACATTGAAAACCTGGAAGCACTGGACGGCCGTTTCGTCCTAGTGTGAGACTCCTCACCAGTGCGCATCCATGATCCCGCACCCAGCGGGATCCGAACCCAGGACCTACTGGCTTCGCGCGCGAGCACTTAACCACTAGACCACTGAGCCGGCATCCAACGGTTTTAATGTCTAACTTCAACCAATCCACGAAGTTGCACCACCGTACAGCATTGTCTTCAGTGAGTTCCTATCTCACAACAGACCTAGTTGAACTCCACTGGTAACGACTTCTCACGAAAGGGCCATCCAGTGCTTCCAGGTTTTCCATTGTGGTCTAGGTTCAATTGACTCATGATTTTAACTTGTGAAATATATAGTATTATGTGTAGATCATATGGTTGAGGTCCACGAGATAATTATGAACACTAGTAAATGACTTTGATATCATAAAATCGATCACACTAACGTAGATCCATTCATAATTTGTCTTCAATAAATCATACGTTTCATACGTTTTATTCACCCATTTCATTCCCCCCCCCCATGTTTGGTCTTACTGTTACTTGTCTTTCTCACACTTTTAATTCATTGGCTTAAATCATGTTAACTTTGTTCCTCTACATTGAAGTGACTGCACAATTTGTTCTGATATACAATTATGAAACGTACTCTGTTGAGTATGATCCTGATTCTCTTATAGATTTACTTCCTAATATCAAATAAAATACAAAATCTATTTTCATAATTAGATCTACTTGATACTGTTTACTTGAATCTTCCCATTGATGTTTAGGACTGTAATTGATCAGTCTCTTATTGACATATGTGTATACTGTTCGGATTATTTCGTTATTGCCTTAATTGACAAGTATTATAAGCAAAGATGGATAGTGGCTAGTAGTGGAATCCAGGATGCGTGTCTCATCTTGTTTTCGGACTCGTCAGATGGATGTACCTGCATCTCAGAATTGATGTTCACTCCAGGACTCGAACCAAGTACCATTCGCTTCAAACACCATCACATTATCCACTCAGCTACTGAGTCCTAATAGCCACTTGCTAGTGCAATGATATGAAGTTTAAATTCACTTAGTATTGTTTACTTAAATTTTTCGATTGTTATTTAGGATTGTAATTGATCAGTCTCTAATTGACATATGCCAATAGGACAAAACACATCTCCTAGATTCCATTGCTAACCACTATCCATCATTACTCATAATTGACTTTAATCTTCAAAAACAAATCCAAAATAAATACAATAACTCCTCTTGGAGCTCCTCTGTTGCTACTGCCGTTTCCAAGCCCAGATAAAGTGGGGAGGGTTAGACATAGGATTAGTGACCCCATCCCATAGAAAACTAACTCGCCAAAAAACACACACACACTCTAACTATAAATACAGAATAATACTCACATTTATTTGCAATAATTTTCTCTTCAGTTGTATTTTGTTTCAATGTAGTATGATCAATTGAATGATACAATTTCGATGAATCCATTTGTATTGTTGTTACCATTGAATGTAAACCATCAACACTTGTTGATATATATAAATGATTCGGTATTAAATCATATTCAGTTGCATTTATTTTATTCATTTCATTATTTGATTGATTCATATTAAAATTATATCGTTTCTCTAAACATTGTAAATATTCTTCACATATACGATGTCTTGCATTTAAACGTGTATTATGATCTAATTCTATAGTTGATTAAATAAACCAGAATAAATAAATAAATAAATAAACACTAACACATATATACAAACAAATAGGATGAGATGGATATGCATGATCAGGTGAATTTATAGGTTACGATCTATGAATAATCAACACAATGAGATGATTATACCTAAGAAATTACATGAGAGTTGAAGCCTTAATTCGGTTTTATATATATATATATCATTGTTCACATATATATCATGTATATGATATGTGTACAATAAACATTGGATAATCAAAATTACCTATGTAAATTAGTATTCATGTTTAGATAGAACCAATATACATTCATATATAAAGATTATAGGATGAATCATGTCAATAAAAATCATGTAGTGTTGCTCTTTTTGTATACTTGTATCTTCTCATTTGTTATTTGGGACTGCAATTGATCAATTGATCATGTTGGGATATGTGCATTCTATGATGATTGCCTCGATATAGCCTTAGGTCACAAGTTTTTTTAAGAAAAGTGGATAGTAATAATAGTGGAATCCAGGATGCGCGTTTCGTTCTGTTGGGAATCTTCAGCTGGATTTACCTGCATCTCAGAATTAATGTCACCCAGCGACTAAACCCAGTACCATTTGCTTCAAACACCATCACATTATCCACTTATCTACTTAGTCCTGATAGCCACCTGCTTGTGCAGTGCGGAGTGAACATCAACTCTGGGATGCAGGTACATGCAGCTTATGAGTCCCGAATAGGATGAAACGTACGTCCTGGATTCAATGCTAGCACTATCTATCATTGATTAAGTGCCATGTTTCTAATTAACAACAGTGTTTAATCTCATTGTATTGTTTGTTTGAATCTGCCGATTGTTATTTAGGACTGTAATGATCAGTCTCATGTTGGGATATGTGCATGAATGTGGATTGCCTTGAGATAGCCTTAAGTCACAAGTTTTTTAAGCAAAGTTGGATAGTGACTAGCAGTGAAATCCAATGAAGAATATTATTGTTGAGAAATAGTTTCTATGAATTACGATGGCAACATTTATTAACTAAATGCCATTAGTGTATGAATATTATCCTTGTAAATTTGCCTCAAGTCAAAAACCTAACATAGGGTTTTTAAACTAATCATAGAAAGTGATTGGCTTCTACTGGTTGTCTATTCATCTTTTAGAGTGACCATCATCGAATGTTCTTAGTTTTATAAAGGATTAGATTTAGAAATTGTAATTTTATAGTGTAAACACTATCCTCTGCATGTACCTGCATCCCAGAGCTGATGTTCACTCCTCAATGCACAAGCAGGTGGCTATCAGGACTCAGTAGCTAAGTTGACAACGTATTGGCTTTTGAAGCAAATGATACTAGGTTCGAATCCCAGAGTGAATATCAATTCTGAGATGCAGGTACATCCATCTGACGAGTCCGAAAACAAGAAGAGACGCACATCCTGAATTCCCCTACTAGTCACTATCCATCTTTGCTTATAATGCTTATGACTTAAGGCTTCTTCAGAGAATAAATAAATAACTAAATCAAAATTAATCCAAGTGTTTGATTTGGTTATTTATTTACTCTCTGAAGAAGTGGCTCACACTAAGTCACGACACATCCGAAAATCTAATTTTTCTAATCATTGGGGATATTTATAAATATATTATTTATAACAATATAACCAATGCTCAATTTATTTGAAATTACCAAGTCAAACCTTGATAATGATACCTATAATGAAACTCAAATTATTGGCTTATTTACTTCATGATTCAAGTTTCTTTAATTTGTGTTTTATCTTCTAATGTGGGTATTTTTTTCGTTCTTCTAGATAATGATGAATTTGTGCAGAAGTGAGTACAGTAGAGAAGATTTGTAGCTCAGATCGATGATTTTAATAAAGTTTTGTTCTCTGAGCTAAATGGTTTGGTCATGAAGCACAAATATCAGTAGAAATTTGTGCTGATGATTTCGTTCAGGAGGACAATCAAAGCTTCATGATCAAACCATCTAGTTCAGAGAACGAAACTCCATCAGAATCGAGTATAAGGAGAATATTATAATTGAAAGCATTCATGTGAACTATAAATCTTCTTCATCAATTTAGGAATTTATGAGCTGGTTTAAGTTTTGTCGTTTGACTGTATTTTCTAACCATCATCATCATCCATACTTGTTAGTTATTTTTAAGTATTCAACATTAAATACTTCAAAAGTTTATTTAATCAACAATTATATTGAAAGAAAAAACCCAGAAAGTATTGTATTGTTGATTTTAAGATTCCAAAGCAGACATCATTTTACAATATACAGTCCTCACATCAAGAACGATACCAGTCATCGACTGAGTTGGCGCTTAATAATTCACACTTGTTTTAAATTAACTCTATTTTTATTTATAACAATCTAATTTATCTGTTATATGTAAATAAACATGTATTTTGCGATATCTACGTAGAGTTAGGCGAAAGCATGTAATACGATGGAAAGTTTGGAATCAACTAGACGATTTGGACTTCGCAGACGACATAGTTTTTTTATTCTACACACAAATACAAACACACCAAGAAATGCAGGTGAAGACATCTAGTGTAGCAGTGGCCTTTGTATAACTAAGCCTCAACATATATAAGGCAAGAACCAAGATCCTCAAATAAAACACGGAGAACATCAACTCAATCACACTTGATGGAGAAACTCTGGAATATGTGGAATGTTCCAGATATCTGGACAGCAGCATCATTGATGAACAAGAAGCATCCTATGCAGACATAAAGGCGAGGATTGGCAAAATAATAGCAGCATTCCTGCAATCGAAAAACATATGGAATCCAAAACAACTGTCTGTCAACCAATATCAGATTCAGAATCTTCAATACGAACATCAAGACAGTTATACTGTACTGGGCTGAAACTCGAAAAACTACCAAGACCATCATCAAAGATGTACAAGTATTTATAAACGATTGTCTACACAAGATATTCAATGTTGATTGACCTGATACTATCAGCGACAACCCACTGCCTGAGAGGACAAACCGACTTCCAATTGAAGAGGAAATTAGGAAAAGATTCTGGAAGGTGGATAAGACATACATTGTTGACATCATCAAACTGCATCACGAAGTATTCACTAACTTGGAATCATGAATGGAAACTGAGAAGGGGAATAAGAACGAACACATTGCGTCGGGAATTCTAAGCAGATATGAAAAGAATGAATATCAACCGTAAACAGCTGGAAAGGATTATTGAGGATAGAGTTGGTTGGAGAATACTGGTGGTCGCCTTATGCTACTTCACGATGGATAACAGATAAGTAAGTGATGTTGAGTATTATGAACTTTTTGAAATACTGAATGCTAAGAATTCTGTGTTATTTTAAACATATAATATTGTGAATGGATTATTTATGATTGTTATTATGATATTCTACGAAATTCATTATCCAATACTGTTTATAGTTACTTTTTAACTTCTTGTTCTAAGAATTCTATTAATCAATGCTTTGAAATTAATCTGTGGAAACATTTCTTCTCAATACAATCACGAATGAGCAGTTATTGTCATTATTTCCTAAAGTTTCAGACAGAGACTAATTAGGTATCTAATGTTACATAACCACCATCAGTTTTCCTATAAGTCTCATTACATAATCACAATGCTAAAGTATTCAGAACAATCCTTATGCAACAAGCGTAGTATATAATAATTTGGTAACTAAATCATTGATTTTAATCCATATTCATCAAATCAACAATGTAGTTATTAGTTGGACAAACTTAACAAGCACTGGACTGTAAATAATATCTATCCTTATTTCACTGCGTCACAGTTCTTAGTATCATTTGCAACTAGCTGTCTAAAATTATAATTCCTTTGAGTCGCACCTATTAAATTAGTGTAAACAAAGTCAATTTCCTATACTAATAGTCCACTAAAGAGGAATACTATTGACAACCACTTCTGTTCACTACTGACCGACCTTTTGTCAAACAGACATATTTACACTAACTGAGCACTGAATAATGAGCAATACAATGTGTAAATAAATAACGTTAATCAAGATATTAGTTCAAGTTCACCTACTTTATTTAGGAGAAATAGAGAATTTTTCCAAATGATGCTATTATTAACACTAATCAGTAATAGGTTGGATTATTTTTAGAATGATCCCATGGGATAAATGCATTATATATACATCCTACCTACCTTTGAATATCTACGTAATCTTGATCTTCAAATTTGTGAATAATCAATAAAAGAATTTCAATATTAAATGAGCTCATAATCATGACTAAGCACCAATAAAACAGTTACTAATTTTACACAGTACTCCCATTTCATTAATCTTTGATTAGCTCCTATACAAATAGTAATTATGATATATTAATTATTTAATAGTTACAGCCCACTAAATATATTCCCCACCAAACGATAAGGCGAGATTATAATTTATGAACGAACCAATCAGATTTAGGATAACAGGTCTTGGATTTTGGCGCGTAATTCATTCATTTGTTTGTCTAAATAGCGCTTTAGCATGTTAGCTACTGTCACTTCGTGATGAAACCTTAACTCTGTTTCCTAATTCTAACCATCAACTGTAAGTCATAATCCTTATTCTTCACACTGTTTTATAACGCTCATTTAGCTCTAGTTAGTAGGTGGACATTCTCAAGGTCACTTTAGCGTAACTCAAAGGTCGTCCATAAATTATAGTCTCACCTCTTATACATAAATCGTAATGGTTATGATGAAATTTATCTGTCATTTACGTAACAGTGAAAATGCTAATTTACGTTTGTAATTACATTATCATATCCATTCGTTGATACCAATACTGGCTAGCATTAATGAAGATAGAAAAAAATATTTAGAATAAGTAATCTCCAAAATTGAAAATATGAAATAATTCTTCCATTACCCTAACAAAATGTAACAGAGATAGAGTTATTTCTGTGAAATCCATTAGATGCCGACTCAGTGGTCTAGAGTCCAAGCGTTCGAGCACAAGACTGAAG